TATAACTCTACCATACACTTTACCAGGTATACTCAACAGACTTATCCCCCTATAATTTTTGCACTCTCTTTTATCCCCTTTGCCTTTATACAAAGGAACTATGCATGCTCTCTGCCAATCCCTAGGTACCTTACCCTCTTCCATACATTTATTAAATAAATAATAAAAAAGTGATCATAAATTGGTTATTTGGCCAGTTTCACACAAAATTCAAGAAAGGCAAATTTCAAAATAAGGTGCAGAATAAACAATGCAGACATTCCTGGTACTAAAATAACTTTCTCTGTTGATTAGCCACATCTCCCTGCTCCTCTTACATTACGCTTGCTTTCCATTTTGAATTTTTATTCACACAAAAAAGTAGATTTATTGTTATGCAGACTACTGTATTAATTGTATAAATAATATCAGCACATTCGCAAATGCATATTAGACCCACCAGTTGAAGTGTACTAAATGTGTGACGTGATTTGTTTACTCTTGAACATCGGCAAATATTGAACATTTCTGCTACTTTGAGCTCAATTTCCAGCTACTTTCAGTCCCTAAACCAATCAAAATCATCTCTATTTCTGTAATACATCTTCCTTTGTATCAAAAGAGACCAAGAAAATGAGAATAACATAAAAACCACAAGAAAATACACCACAAAGTTGCTATTTTAAACCAAAAACACAGTTGCCATTTTTTTCTCATGCACTGCATGCTGCAGGATTTTTTTTTTCATATGGTGAACACTTACGGCATAGACCAATTCTCTCATATCTAGGCCCAAATTTTCCACTCACAGCTTATCTCAGTTAGCAGTGGGACCGACACTGGCTTTAAAGCCATGATATAACGGGATCCACACCGAAAGTGTTAAATAGAGATTTTCATTAAGAAGGGGCAAAGTCACAGAAAGCTGTGAGCTAAACATATTACCTCTCATTAATAAATGAATATTCATAGTTAAACTCAGGAACATGGACTAATATAATAAAATAGTACAAGTTAGTTTTTAATGCTTGCAGGCTATACACGAATGGGGTAATTAGGGCGAAGTAGGACTTTGTACAAACCTTTAACAACACTAACTGGCTCCAGCTAAGTAGGTACCTTATCCTGTCACATGCTACCTACAAAGTATGTAGTAAAGTTTTTGTGTCAAATTATGTCTGTGAATGGAGGACCCAGTTAGAATAAAATTACACAGAGTAACTGTAGTGATAACCTGTGTATGGTTTGTAAGTCTCAAGAACATATATCTGTAATTTCCTAAAGAAATCACAGTTGCAATTATTTATCTGGCAAGAACAGCTCAAAACTAGCCTTGCTAAGTGCCATGTGAGTTTCCTTAACCCTTTGAGGGTTTTCGTCGTACTAGTACGTCTTACGAGTAGGGGTTTTTGACGTACTAGTACTCATAAATTCTAGCGGCCTCAAATCTAGTGGGAGAAAGCTGGTAGGCCTTCATATGAAAGAATGGGTCTATGTGGTCAGTGTGCACAGTCTAAAAAAAATCCTGCAGCACACAGTGCATAATGAGAAAAAAAAAACTTTGACCATTTTTTTTGAATAAATCAGCGACTTTGCAGTGTATTTTCGTATGGTATTTATTCTTGTATTCTAGTTTTCTTGGTCTCATTTTATAGAATGGAAGACATATTACAGAAATTGAGATGATTTTGACTGGTTTTACAAAGAAAGGTGCCTTGAAATTGAGCTCAAAGTAGCAGAAATGTTCGATTTTTACCAAACTTCAAAAGTAAACAAATCGTGCCAAGCGTGCAATACACGTCAACTGGTGAGTCTAATATTCTTTCACAAGTGCACCAATAATATTTATACCATTTTTTACACTAATGCAGTAGTCTGCATAACAGTAAATCTTATATTTTTTGTGAAAATAAAAATTCAAAGTGGAAAGCAAAAGAATATAAGAGGGGCCTTGAGACATGACTAATGACTAGAGGAAATGTCATTTTAGTGCCAGGAATGTCTTTCTTGTTTATTCTGGACCCTATTCGGAAATTGGCATCTTTTGAAATTTGTGTGAAATTGGCAAAATTGCTAAATTCTGACCACTGTACTGGATAGTAGAATTTCATAAATGAGTGGTTTCTTGCACCCATTCGATAGAAAAAATGGAGTTCTATCGAAATATTCATGTTTTTTGTCGACTAGTACAGTGAAATTGGCCGAAAATGGGGCTCAAAGTGGGCAAAATCGCCGATGCGTAAACATCGCCGAGACCGCTGACTTTGCGAGAGCATAATTCCGTAAGTTTTCTATCAAATTTCAAACTTTTGGTGTCTTTATGATCGGGAAAAGATTCTCTATCTTTTCATAAGAGAAAATAATTTTTTTTTTTTTTAAATTTGGCCGACCCTGAGAACGAGTTTCGGAGAGGGCCTGTCGACCCTCAAAGGGTTAAATAAAAAAATCCAGAAAAGTGAATCTTCAGAGATAGAAGGGAGCTCTTAAAGAGAAAATATATTCCACATTATGTGATGATGTGCTGTTTACAAATGACTACGTAGATATGCTGACGTGACAGATTCAATGATAATATCAGATGGTCAATAAAACTATTTAATATAAGGTAGAAATGTCACAACTTATACTGTAAATAAAAACTTCAATTAACAATCAGTACAAAAATGTAACTTAATAGTTACTTACATTTGTATTTATTATTTTTTGCATAACATAAACCTCACAAAAAAACACTTACCACAACTGTATTAAAATATACAGTACTCAGTGCACCAATGTACAGTAATAAATTATATTATTTTTAATATTATTGAATTTAGCATTAATAATTAATTAACAACCACTTTAAAATTCTCTACCTGTGAGTATATCAGATTCATTAAATTTAATTCCATAAATATATCCTTGTAGCCAAAATAATTTGCATAAGCAAAACTAGCTGTATGTATTAAAGACAAATAATCCATTAGAAAACTGGTTTATTATCAGAATAGAATATTGCTGTGACAATTATTTCAAAGTTCAGTTAAATATCATAGGAAAAATGTCTACTCAAACAGGTAACATTCCCAAGTAGGGATTCGATTTTTTCAAAATAAAAATGGCAACATAAACAGAAATAATCAGCAAAGAAAATTATGGCAAATAAACCTACAACTTAGCCATTCCAAAATATCAAAATATCATTACAAAATATCAAAATATCATACCAAACCTGAAAGCTTCAAGACGTCTGCAGTTAGTCCACTCTGTGAGGTAGATATGCCTACAAGACTTTATGAATTAGTTTAACCGACTGAAAAAATTTAGAGTCAAAGTTAGTCAACTTCTTAAGAAAAAATGAGATTGCAGATGGATTCTGATGGATGTTTTTTTAAGTACTATATATACAGTATGTAATACCCAGACTAATAACTTCCTCTAATGGTTACATTAAATAAAAAAAAAAAGCATTTATCCCTTGTTAGCATCAATAACCTATCCATTAACCCTTTCACTATTAATACCCCCCTAAACTGAATGCCCCTTTAGTGTAGTCATTTTTTTTTAAAAATTAAATTTCTTCTACAGTGGTTAGAGATTCTTTTTCTAAATCTTATGACATCATAAATACAAAATTTAGTATAATAACTATGTAATTACATAGGCAGAAAGTTGGAGTTTGGGGAGCACTTTACATAACAGTGATTTTGCTCACTCTGAGACCTATTTCAGGCCAATTCTGACCCAATTCCTGGTTATTTCATTACTATGCCTTCTGTACTACCCAATGACGGCAGGAAACTGCCCATTCAATTATCAAAACTACAGTTCTCTCTCTCTCCCTCTAAAAAAAAAAAAAAAAAAAAAACAGAATTTGGTAATTGGCCAATACTACTACTTTCAACAAATTGCAGTTTAAGAACACTTAAACTATAACTTTCCCTCCTTTTGAATCCATCAACACGCATAAAAAAATGAAGTTTTTCCTTATTTCCCACTTAATAAAACATAACCAAGAAAGCTTGGTTATGGTTTATTAGGTGGGTTGAGCTTTACAAAGCTCTACACAGAGCAAAAAGTTGTCCTAATAATATCTTTCTCTACAACTTGCAGCTTGTCTTCATTGATATCACTAATGGCTCCCATTTATTTCCAGCCTACTGTCAAAGTGTGAATTCAACCAACTAAATTTCAATAATTTTGCTTTCATAAAAGGTACAGCAGATAAAATTTCAATAAGTAAGTGCTTGACATCATAATGATTTAGCAAAGTGATTAATTACATACTTACATTAAATTGACATACTTAAACCAATGATTCTTGATGAATGTTCTTATAATGTCCATTATAGAGATAAACTTTAAGGTACTACTCTTCATCAATTCTATTTTTAATAAATACTAAATGTGGTACAAAATCCATTATGTCTATTTGTGAATTAATGTTGTCCCCTTCAGAATCCATCATACTACCATCTCCAAACAGTGCTTTATCAGGATCTGATGTCTACTCACAGCCAATACAAACTACTTACTGGCATTCAGCCTCGACCGATTTGGATCTATCATTGCATCTGAAGAATTTCCCCTAAAAGACAATAAGGTGAGTTAATAATACACTGGTGGGACTTGCATAATTTTGTGTATTTGTGTGTAATTACCTATTTGTAGTTACAGGAGCAGAGCTAAGCTCATGGTGTCCTGTCTTCAGTATTTAACTAAACATATTATGTATTTTAAAGTTTGTGGTGGGTTTAGCAGTATGTCTATGTGCATGAGTGTGTGTGTGTGTGTGTGTGTGTGTGTGTGTGTGTGTGTGTGTGTGTGTGTGTGTGTGTGTGTGTGTGTGTGTGTGTGTGTTGTGTATTGTGTGTGTATGTGTATGTGTATGTGTATGTGTGTATGTGTGTGTGTGTGTGTGTGTGTGTGTGTGTGTGTGTGTGTGTGTGTGTGTGTGTGTGTGTGTGTGTGTGTGTGTTGTGTGTGTGTGTGTGTGAAGTCATGTCCAAGTCTATGAATGTGGTTGCTGATTTACTTACCTACAATCAGACTCCAAGATTTTGGACCTGTCGTTACAGCGGAAGAACTTGCCCTGGTGAAGCATAAAAAACGTACATACACTTTTAATTAGCCATAGTTTTCCTGAATATCTGATATCATACAAATGAGGAAAGTATATTTATGCAAAGTATCTTGTAAACCTATTTTCATAAACTTTACATACTGGTGCAGTTCTTTAATCAGTTGAATCTTAATCGATTTACATAAATAAACTGCTGCATGATAATAAGTTTATTAAAATTTTATCTTCTTCACTGATAAAACATAGATGCTTCAAATATCTGCATCCCAAACTCTGAATTCAGAATTTCTCTAAAATAGATATTTATCTACTGATTTAAACCTATGCTTGAAATGTAAACATCTGAGTTTGTTTACACGCTTAATGGTATAAACCTTGGTAATAAATACCGACAAGTTGGTTTAAAAAGACATGTAAGCAAACACTGACATATTTATTAGAAAACGTTTTGGTCCTGGGACCTTGATCACTTCTAACATACAAAGGTAGAAAAACATTATATATAGGCGGAGAGTGAGGTGTGAGTGACGCATGGTGACTTGAAGAATGCCACGTTGGGATGAGGACGGGTAGACTATGAGATCATGTGACTCCTGTGTTGTTGGATTGGCTAAGCACCACCAACCCAACAACACAAGTCACATGATCTCACTGTCTACCCATCCTCATCCCAACACGGCATTCTTCAGGTCACCATGCTTGTAGATGAATGGTTCAGAGAACCGACAGGTTGATAAATTAGACACATGTGCAACTCTTGGGTATCTTTATTGAGGAAACGTTTCGCCACACAGTGGCTTCATCAGTCCATACAAAGGAGAATCTTGAAGAACAGGAGGAGAATGAGGTAATCAGTCCCTCAACCTTGAGTCGATGTGGTCAGTCCATCAATCTTGAATAGAATCTATTCAAGATTGATGGACTGACCACATCGACTCAAGGTTGAGGGACTGATTACCTCATTCTCCTCCTGTTCTTCAAGATTCTCCTTTGTATGGACTGATGAAGCCACTGTGTGGCAAACGTTTCCTCAATAAAGATACCCAAGAGTTGCACATGTGTCTAATTTATCAACAGGTCACCATGCATCACTCACACCTCACTCTCTGCCTATATATGTCTTTCTACCTCTGTATGTTAGAAGTGATCAACGTTCTAGGACCGAAATGTTTTCTAATAAATATGTCATAGTGCTTGCTTACGTGTCTTTCTAAACCACAAGCTTAATAACATGAAGGGCAAGTGAAAACTAGAGAAATATAATGCTAAATATAAGAACTTTTACAAAGGCTCACATTCAGAAGATGCTAATGTTTTAAAAAATACACTATTTTCTAGTAATGTCATGAAAACAGTACCAGTAAACCCTTGAAATAATGGACTAATAGGAGGAGGGAAGAGGAGTCTCCGAGTGTTCATCGGAATGTTAAAAAAAAATGAAGAGAAAAAGCACTAAATTACTTTACTGTATACCTACTACAGTATCGTACTCACAATTTACATATATACTGCAATAAACATTGAAAATAAAGAAATTAAGAGTACAATTTATCCAGTGCATTTTGCCTTATATCAGAAATCCATTATTTTGGGGGCCCTTTATATTAATGGTTTACTATATTTACTACAGGATGCAGATTAAGCACTCCTAGAAAAAAAAATTCCATAATATCTTTTGAATGTAGGGTCATAATGCTGAGAGATATGGATATAAAAGCACAATATGCAGAAGAACCACTGACAGTGGACCCTCGAGTTTCGAAAGGCTCGCGCTTTGTAAATTTCAACTTTCGACAACTTTTTTCGTCAAAATATAGCCTCGCAGTTCATAATTTGGCTCTCCATTCATCGCTCGTCTTGAACACATATGAGTGGCCTCCCAGCATCCGCTCCACACAAAGGCGCCATATGCACCATTCCCATTCAGTGTGGCATTGTTTATTGGCAAGTATCACCCCACATGTTCATACGATACATTTTGTTATATAGTGGACCCCCGAATAATGTAATTAACCCTTTGACTGTTTCGGTCATATATATATGCGTCTTACACGCCACTGTTTCTGACATATTTATACGCATAAATTCTAGTGGCTTCAAATCAAGCGGGAGAACGCTGGTAGGCCCACATGTGAAAGAATGGGTCTGTGTGGTCAGTGTGCACCACATAAAAAAAATCCTGCAGCACGCAGTGCGTAATGATAAAAAAAAAACTGACCATTTTTTTGGATTAAAATGCCGACTTTCAGGTGTATTTTCATATAGTATTTATCGTTGTATTCTAATTTTCATGGTCTCATGTGATAAAATGGAAAACACATTACAGAAATAGAGATGATTTTGATTACTTTCACGATAAAAACGACCTTGAAATTGAGCTCAAAGTAGCGGAAATGTTTGATTTTTACAAGTGTTCAAGAGTAAGCAAATCACACCACACGTCCAATACACTTCAACTGGGGAGTCTAATATTCTTTCACTAGTGCACTGATATTATTTATACCATTTTTACAATAATGCAGTAGTCTGCATAACAGAAAATTTTGTATTTTTTTTTTTTGCATGAAAAAAATCAAAATAGAAAGCAATAGTAATATAAGAGGGACCTAGAGACATGACTAATGAACAGAGGATATGTTATTTTAGTGCCAACAATGTCTACATTGTTTATTCTGGACCCTATTTTGAAATTGGCATCTTTTTTAATTTGCGTGAAATTGGCAAAATTGCCAATTTCTGACCACTTTATTGGGTAGTTCAAATCAGTAAATGGGCAGTTTCTTGTACTCAACTGATAGAAAAAATGGAGTTCTAAAGAAATAGCTATGAGTTTGGTCAATTGGAGCAACAGAATTGGCCAAAAGCAGGGCTCAAAGTCGGTTAAACCGCCGATGTGTATATGTTGCCGAGACCGCTAACTTCGCGGGAGCGTAATTCCATGAGTTTTTGACCAAATTTCGAACTTTTGGTGTCACTACCATCGGGAAAAGATTCTGTCATTTCATAAGAAAAAATCATTTTTTTTTCTAAAAAATTATCAATATAGAATGACAGTTTCAGAAAGGGGCCTGCGACAGTCAAAGGGTTAATCCGTTCCATAGTGTGTGTCTTAAACCGAATCTGACTTAATCTGAATTAATTTTCCCCATAAGAAATAATGGAAATCCAATTTATCCATTCCAGACACTCAAAAGTATTAAACAAAATTTTTCTACATGAAACATACATCTCCCTACACAGAAAACAATGAGACATGCAGAGTAAAACATTACTAAAATGACGCTTACCTTTATTGAAGATTTATTGATGATTGATGAGATGGGAGGAGGGGAGAGGATGAAGGTGTACTATTGTTTGGAAGGGGAATCCCCTTCCATAAAGACTTCAGGTAGCAAGTCCTTATCTGGGGTTACTTCCCTTCTTTGTTTTTTAATGCCACTATGACCAGCTTCAGAGTCATTGGACCCCTGTCGCACAAAATATCTGTCCAGAAAGCTCTGTTTCTGCTGTCTCTAAGATTTCCCTAAAATGGGACACAACATTGTCATTGTAGATGTTGCCAGCACGGCCTGCAATGGCTGTGTCAGGGTGATGTTCATCCATAAATGTTTGCCCATAAGAAAGCAGGAACAGTGCAGCAGGCCTGTTGGCCCATACTAGGCATGTCCTTCAAAAACCATCCCACAAACAGAATCGTATTTGCCCAACCCAATTTTCAATGCTTCCCAAGCAATAAGCTTTGATAATTCTATTCACTCATGTGCAAATCCCAATCAAATCAAATCGTGTGTGTGTGGGGAAGTACCCTGTCTGGTGTGTGGGGAAGTACCCTGTCTGGTGTGTGGGGAAGTACCCTGGCTGGTGTGTGGAGGACTACCCTGGCTGTTGTGTGGGGAAGTACCCTGGCTGGTGTACATAAGAAAGCAGAAACACTGCAGCAGACCTGTTGGCTCATACTACCATCCTCTACCACAACCACAGACTTTGCAAAAGCATTTGACAAATGCGATCATGGTGTAATAGCCCATAAAATACGTGCTAAAGGAATAACTGGGAAAGTGGGGAGATGGATCTTCAACTTCCTAACAAATCGAACACAAAGAGTAGTGGTCAACAGAGTTAAATCGGAGGCTGCCATAGTGAAGAGCTCTGTTCCACAAGGCACAGTACTCGCCCCCATCTTATTCCTTATCCACATATCAGACATAAACAGAGATATACACCACAGCACCGTATCATCCTTTGCGGATGATACTAGGATCTGCATGAGGCTGTCATCTGCTGAGGACGCGGTTAACCTCCAAAAAGATATAAACAAAGTTTTCCAGTGGGCAACGGTAAACAATATGATGTTCAATGAGGACAAATTCCAACTACTCCGTTATGGAAAACTGGAGGAGATAATAACTAGAAGAGTATACTACTGACTCCGGCCATACAATAGAGCGGAAAAATAATGTAAGGGACCTGGGAGTAGTAATGTCTGAGGATCTCACTTTCAAGGATCACAACAGTGCCACGATCGCACATGCAAAGAAAATGATAGGATGGATAATGAGAACTTTCAAAACGAGAGATGCCAAGCCCATGATGATCCTTTTCAAATCACTTGTTCTCTCTAGGCTGGAATACTGCTGTACATTAACATCTCCATACAAAGCAGGTGAAATCGCAGATCTAGAGAGTGTACAGAGATCCTTTACTGCACGTATAAGTTCTGTCAAGCACCTTAACTACTGGGAACGCTTGGAAGCACTTGACCTGTACTCGTTGGAACGCAGGAGGGAGAGATATATCATAATCTACACTTGGAAAATCTTGGAAGGAATGGTCCCAAATCTGCACACAGAAATCACTCCCTATGAAAGTAAAAGACTGGGCAGGCGATGCAAAATGCCGCCAATAAAAAGTAGGGGCGCCATTGGTACACTAAGAGAAAACACCATAAGTGTCCGGGGCCCAAAACTGTTCAACAGCCTCCCATCAAGCATTAGGGGAATTGCCAATAA